ACCCTCGTCTCTCCCCTACCCTCGTCTCTCCCCTCTCCTCGTCTCGCGGTGTCGCTGCTGCCTCGCCTGCCTGTGGCACTCTGCCCATCACCAAACGTTCGTTTACTGACGACGCACAAACTTGAGGACGTGTAACCGCTCTCCACCAGCACGGCGACTGAGCACAATCTCCCCCTCAAATTCCGGCAGCATGTGCAGCATCGAATCTGGGACAGAAGGCACACAGAGAGTGTGCGTGGTTATGTGTGTATGTGTGAGTGTGTGAGTGTGTGTGTGGTTGTGTAAGAGTGTGGTTGAGTGAGCGAGGGAAGTGCAAGTGGTCGAAAGAAAGTGCACAGCATCACACACGCACAAAGCGCAAACACAGCACACACACACACACACACACACACACACACACACACACACAAAGCACAAACACACACAACACACACACACACATGCGCACTGACCAAGAGAGCCGCCAATGAGGTTTTCTTGAAGCGCAATCATGTACAGGATTCCAGAGTCAGTGAGCACAGCTGGAACTTGAGGGAGGAACCGGTCAATGACCTCCCTCCCATCAGCACCACCAGCCCATGCTGCCATCAAGCCTTCCTGACCAACCTAACCCACCACGCACAGAAACCAACAAACACCGAAGCATGTGCAGATGAGTATTGGAGGCCTGGTGGCAGGGGGGTGGGGTCGCGGAAACAACACCCAAGCGCAGACTGAATAGGGCACAAAAAGCCCACCCTGGCTCATTGCACACATGACATGCACAGCACTTCATGCACCCACCGCACCTCACGGACACGCACACACACACGCACACACACACACACACACACACACACACACACACACACACACAAACGCGCGCACAAGCGCGCACATGCATGGACGTACTTCCTCTGATGGGGTTACGACGTACGGAGGGTTAAAGATGAGAATGTCCGCTTTAATGCTGCGATCAATGAGCGGCTGTAACAAATCCCCTTGCAGGCACTCTGCTTCAATGCCGTTGCGTTGAAACGTATCCTGCGTGCACATGACGGCGTCCGGATTGATATCAACCGCCCTGTAGGCACGCAGCAAGCAACGTGCGAGCACGGCGGTGGTGTGGGCGGAAAGAAGCATGCAACAGCCCTCATGGCAGCGCACACGCAACACAGAAAGCACAGCAAGTTGCTCACAAAGCCACACACACACACACACACACACACACACGCACACACACGCACACACACACACACACACACACACACACACACACACACACACACACCACGACTTGCATGTATTTTGAAGAGTCCTTGAGAAAGCATGCGAGCGAGGTGATGGGAACACCGCTTCCGGATCCAATTTCAACACACAGCTGCGGCCTGCAACGAGTGAGGGGAGCGTAAGTTAAAGAGGGAGTCAACGAGGGGAGTGCTTTGAGTGGGTGTCGAGTGAACACACGTGTGCATATTGAAGAAAAAGAGAGAACAACAAGTACAGAAGCGCTCACTTGATGGCGAGGATGTTCTTCAAGTCTGCTTCCAAGCCATCAATCAGCAAAAACGTGTCCTCTGCAGGCTCATACACAGAGTCCACCTTCCCATACTCTGGCACATGCAACTCCATCACTATGTATTTGTGCGTGTATGTGTGTGTGTGTGTGTGTGCGTGTGTGTGTGCGCGCGTGTGTGTGTGTGTGTGTGTGTGTGGCAGAAAGTGATGTGAGCACGCTCCGCAGAACGCAGCTGGTTACGACATCATAGGGTGTAGTACAAGCTTTTTCGGTTGTCCGGGTGGCGAATAGCACCGAAGTCAACGTCGCGTTGTTGGGAGCACAACAGCAAGAGGCAAGAGCAAGCAGCCATGTGTGTGTTTTTCGGTTGTGCTTAACAAACTAGCCAAGCCAGACAGACACCCACTCGCCAAGACGACGGCATCGTGGTGCAGGAGACACCAACCAACCAACAAACCAACCAGCCAAGCAAGGAAGGGAGAAAGAGAGAACTTTGAAAGAGGTGAAGCGAAGTGAAGTGAAGTGGGTGGGGCAGTGCAACAAATACCGCGAGCCAAGGCATACAGCAGCACCAGCACATACAGACAGCACCCTCGCAAGCAAGCCGGTTGGCTGAGCACAGCGACCACGCAGTTTGCTCAGCAACAGCCCCGCGAAACTCGAAAACGAGCAGAAGGCGTGCGTTGGGGGAAAACTTGAATCCCTCGTCATCCATTGATCCGGGTGGGGGCGGCACGCTCCAAACACACGCATTCATTGTTTCGCTGCCGGAGAAGAGACAGAGGCCATGGATGGACGCTGCCTGTTGCACGCTGGCAGCCAACAGCAGCTTGGCACGCAGCAAGGCCTTGCAGGCACCACCACAACGAGCGCAACAAGCACAGCACGCACAGCTGCAAGGCAGAAGAGGTCAACACGAAGAAGAAGAACAACAACAACAACAACAACGAGAAGTTGCCCCATGGACAGCGGGGTGGTGATGCAGACGTCGAAGCCAACTGAGGCTCAGACGTTGGCACCACGGTCATGTGCAGATGCAATGTGCACGCCAAAACACAACACAGCACCAGCCCTGGGTTGGCTCAGAGGGGCCTTGTCCTCTTGGCTGCTTGCACTATGTCTCTTTCTCCTCGTCAACAGCCAAGGCTCACTTGCAGCTCGAACGTAAGTGCAGTGGCCGCGCGTGTGCGTGCATGTGTGTGTGTGTGTGTGTGTGTGTGTGTGTGTGTGTGCGTGTGTCTGTGCGTGCGTGTGTCTGTGTCTGTCTGTCTCTCCCTCTCTCCCTGTATGTGCCTGTGCGCGTGCGTGCTGCGTACTCAACTCCCCCCCCCCCACACACACACACAGGAGTGTGCTGGTGCGCAACCCATCATTTGAGTTTCCGTGGACGGGCACATTCTCAACGACCATCGAGGACTGGCAGCAGACGGATGGCACGGGCGTCTTTCGACAAAACAAACAAGCCTACCCAGTTACCCTCCCCGTGAGTGACCGAACCCTGCTGTATCTGCTTTCCTTGTGACGACGGCTGCAACCCCCACGCAACACACGCGCTCTCACTTCATGTGAACGCCAGCCTGCGTCGTGAACAACAGCTTTCTTTCCTTCTTGCACCAAGCCACACTTGGACAAGGCAATTCCAGCGCTACCTCACTCACCCACTCACTCACATCCCATCACATCACAAACACAACCTCACTCACTCACTCACATCGCAAACACACGATACATCATTGTCACGCACCTTGCTTTTCTGCAATACCAGTTGCCCGCGTTTCTCAACCTCGCATACCTCAAAGCCGGCAGCCGCATTAGGCAAACCCTCGGCGAGCACGCGCCAGAGGCTGGCAACGTCTACCAGCTTTCTGTCTTCCTCGCATGGCGTGCAGATCAAGCAGACTTCCCAACAACCCGAATCACTGTGTCAACATCCCAATCCAGCACGGTGTGTATGTGTGTGCATGTGCGTGCACTTGGTCATGTTCTGTGCGTTCTTGTTGTTGTATTCGTGTGCAAACCTTGCCGGCGTGCATACAGTGCGAACGATATGCGCCAGCCAGAACCCCATGTGATGCATCGTGTAACCGTCGTCCACATCACCTGCTCCGGCTCTTCCCACTCAAATTGCAGGTCATTGCTCAGCTTGTTGTGTCTCGTGATGACTTGAGTCCTGGCGCCGGTCTCATCTTCACCACGCGCTCCACTGCATTCGACGACGCCCTTCTTGGCGAGCGTCTCGTCATCAGGTGTGCAGATGCTGTACGTGCGTGTGCGCAACTGTATGTACATGTGCGTGTGTGTTTATGTGTGTGTACGTGTGTGTGCGTGTGTGTACGTGTGTGTGTGCGTGTGTGTACGTGCGTGTGTGTACGTGTGTGTGTGTACGTGTGTGTGTGTCTGTGTGTCTGTGTGGCGCGTGTGCGCAAATGTGTGTCTGTGTGTGGCGCGCGTGTGCGCAAATGTGTGTGTGTGTCTGTGTGTGCAGGTACTTCTGCTTCTTCCCTCCTTCTTGCACTTCACGGTATTGCTCATGCTGTTGTGCCTTTTGCCATTGTCATCTGACATGACAGCATCGAGGCCGCTGCGAGCGTCAACGCGAAACTTCAGAGCAACATCGACGCTGTGCGGCTGCACCTGCTCACGGGCGCCGACCTCTCCACCACCACAACAACCACAACCACAACCACGACGTCAAGGTGAGCAGCCCACAGATGCTCACGTCACGTCACGAGTGACTGCCGCCGGGCCACACACACACACACACACACACACACACACACACACACACACACACACACACACACACACACACACACACACACACACAGAGCACACAGCACACAGCACACACATACACAACATACTCACCCTTGACTTTGCTTGCCTGTTTTGCTGTGCTCACAGTGAGACGCGTGGCACGGTGGAGATGCTCACAACGACAGAGGAGCTGTTTTCAACTGTGACGGATGATGTGTTGGACACAACAACAAACGCGTTGCTCACAACCACCGAGGAGCCAATGGCCACCACCACAGACGAAGAATCGTTAACCACGACCGAGGACATGATGACCACCACGGAAGAATTGCTGACCACAACAGAAGAATTGCTGACCACAACAGAAGCATTCGATACCACCACCGAAGACTTTGAAACCACCACCGACGAGTTCACCTCATCCACCACCACAACCACCACAACAACCACCAGCACCACCACAACAACATCTACAGGCAGCACGCTACCGCCTGGCAGTTCCCAGCTTGACGTGGCCAACCCAAGCTTTGAGGTGGATGATTTGGCCGGGTTCATTGCCGTTGGTCGCGTTTCAGGTTGGGCTCGGAGCATGGACGCACTCACAATTCACCCAACAAGCCCGAACCTCATCAACCCCGATGCACGCGTCCCTGATGGTTCGCAGGCCGTTTTCCTCCCGTCCCGCGCCAAGGTGAGCGAGGAATGCGGAATGACGACATGCAACGCGCGCACACCCCAATGGCATGGGCCTTGCAGTGGTGCATGTGGAGACGCACCCGCACAGCTATGGCTCTCACATCACACACACACACACACACACACACACAAGTTCACGCACGCACACACACACAAGTTCACGCACGCACACACACACACAAGTTCACGCACACACACACACACAAGTTCACGCACACACACACACACACAAGTTCACGCACAAACACACACACGCACACACACACAAGTTCACGCACAAACACACACACGCACACACGCACACACGCACACACGCACACACGCACAAACACACACACGCACACACACACGCACACACCATCTCTCTCTCCTTCTCACACATATGCACTCACTCACATGCACTCGCGCCTGCGTAGGTGAGCCAAGTGCTTCCAACCGAGTTTCAGGAGCTCCACCTGTACACGCTAGCCGTGTACGTCGCCGCGCGCGCAGACTTCCAGTCGTCGCCAGCACTGACCCTGACTGTCACAGACAGCACAAACACGCCACTCCTCTCCAACACCATCTCCTCGGCTGTCATTGCCCAGCACAGGGGTGACTTTGCACAGTACCTCCTCCAGGTGCCCATTGCACCAGACAGTGCAGTGCTCGGCCAGAACGTGCGCATTGCGCTGCAGGCGTCCACGGGCGATGGCGCAGTCATGGTGGATGACGTGAGGGTCTACGAGCAAGTGTGCACCGCTCGCCTCTGCCCAACCCTGCTCACGACAACAGTGACCTCCACATCTTCGTCAACCTCCACGTCTTCATCCACGTCCACTTCCTCCTCAACCTCAACCTCCACCTCCACCTCCACCTCCACAACCACCAGCACCAGCACATCGACAAGCACATCGACAAGTACTTCCACCTCCACCTCTACTTCCACCTCCACCTCCACCTCCACTTCCACATCAAGCACAACGTCGACCAGCAGCACCACCTCCACCTCAACATCCACATCCACAAGCACGAGCACGTCCACTTCCACGTCCTCCTCCACCTCAACGTCATCATCGTCGTCCACCACCACATCCACCTCCACATCCTCCTCCACTTCAACATCATCCTCATTCACGTCTACCTCCACAACCACGTCCTCTCGCTCCACTTCAACCTCCTCCTCAACCTCCACCTCTTCCTCCACCTCAACCTCCTCCACATCCAGCACGTCTTCATCCTCATCGACATCCACATCATCCTCAACGTCCACCTCATCCTCCACCTCCACCTCCACCTCTGCGGAGACCCCCAGCGATATCGAGTTTATCGCACTCCTCAACAATGACTTTGAGACCCCCAATCTGCAGACCCCGTTTGCGTCGTCGTCCTTCATCCCGGACTGGCAGCAGCCGAGCGGCTCGTCGGCCCTGCTCCGCCTCGAAGGCTACATCAACCACACCATCACCCCGATCCTCAGCGGCCCCCAGGTCGTGCAGCTTGACCCCAACGCGTGCATTGCGCAGCAGCGAACCAAGGTCACCATCACGCCAGGCACCTTCTACTCATACGTCATTGGCGTGGCACAGGACGTGTGCTGCGACGGCCCAGACTTTGCCGGTGTGTTTGTGCAGGTGGCGCTTGGCGGATCCCCCGTCGCCAATTGCGCCTTTGACGCGCCCCGCCGCTTTGAGCCCGGGTACGCGGCCGAGCTCGTGTGCGGCTTTCAAGCCACCACGATGGAGGTGTCCACGCTGGTTGTCTCCATTTGCTCAGCAGAAGACACCGCGTTTGTTGACAACGTGCGTCTGGCTGCAACGGAGGGTGCACTTCCCGTCCCACACGAGGCAACTCGTGTCATCGAGCCCAGACCCTCAACCACTACAATGGCAATGACAGCGACAACCACAACCACAACGACAACCACTACAATGACAACCACAACCACAACCACAACCACCACAACCACAACCACCACTACGACCACCACGACTATGGATGGTTGTTCTGAGGTCGGATGCGTGCCCTCTTTCGCGACAGACCACACGTTTGTGACCGCATCTGCGTTTGAGGCCTCGTTCCTCAGGCTGGTTGATGTGGACGGCGACGGCGACCAAGACGTGATTGTGGTTGCAAAGGACGCACAGCAGGTGCTCTGGTATGAGCAACAGCCAGGCAGTGTGTATGTCCCGCGAACACTGGATGACAGCACGCCAAAGCCTGCCCGCCTTGCAGTGCACGTGGACGCGCTTGGCGCTGTCTCCATCGCCATTGCCTACCCTTCGTCGCGCCTGATTGTGCTCTTGAGCAACACGCCGGAGTCACCGTACCGCTTCTTCCGCACGGAGATCCCCACCACGTCCAAGATCAACCACCTCGTCTTTGATGATGTGGATGGCGACGGTGTTGCTGACGTTGTTGGTGCCTCCCGCACGCGCAACGACGTCTACTGGTTCATCGCTGCTGATGCGTTTGCCGAGCAGCTTAAGCTGCAGGACATTGGAGCGTTCAGCGACGCAGAATTCGCCGACTTTGACGGTGGGCTACGGTGCATGTGTGTGTGTTGGGGGGGGGGGGCATACGCTTGTGTGTGTACGTGTGTGTGTGTGTGTGTGCATACGCTTGTGTGTGTGTGTGTGCGTGTTTGTGTGCATGTATGTTTGTTGAGCGTGTGTGGGCGTGTGTGGGCATGTATGTGCGTGTGCGCACGTGTGCTTGTCTCCTTACCATAATGTCCGTCAACTGCAACGGCCTTCATTTACGTGCATCACACGCAACATGTGCTCGTTGATGTGTAACAATGTGTTCTCTCTCTCACGCAATGGCACACTTTTGCTTGCTTGTATGCGCATGGTTCTGTTTTGTTGTTCCCGCCGCTGTTTCGTCTTCCTCTTCCCCTTGGTTCTGCAGGGCTGGGCCACGTTGATTTTGTGGTGACGGATGTGCGCACAAACGAGCTTGTGGCGTATGTGAGCAGCGATGCTTCAAGCATCGACATTGTAAGCATTTCGTCGCTGGTTGACGGCATTGCTGTCTCCAGCGCTGATGTGGACAACAACGGAGAGCGGGATGTTGTCGCTGGCTCCGTACAGGGCCGCGTCGTGCTTGTGCGTGATCCGCTCACAGCGCCCATTGAGACAACGCTGCTTGACCCTGACGCAGACCTGCCACCAGGCACTGGGGAGCTTGTGGACGTGTACGCTGGCGACCTAAACGGCGACACGCGCGCGGATGTGGTGGCGGTGTTCCAGGGCGGTGTGGGTGCGGTCCTGCTACAAGCCGAACCCCAAAATGGGGAGGATGTTGTGTTTGAGGCGCCCACATTCTTCGTCACGTCGTACGACGCGTCGTCGCTGCATGTGGCAGACATGGATGGCGATGGCGATCTGGACCTCGTTATCGGCTCCACCACGGGTGTTGTTGCCGTTCACCACAGCACATGCTGCCGTGATGGCCCGCCCACACCAACCCCCATCGGCGTGTGCACAGAGGAGTTTCAGGTTGTGCTGGATGCTGAGCTCGGGGCCACTGTGGGCGCCACCATTGTTGGCACGTGGATAGAGAGCACTTCGCCGATGGGATTCTTTGGTGATTCGTTCTACACTGCAGATGGCGGCACCAGTGAAGCGACCAGTGTCAACTTCTTCCTCGACTCCTTGCCAGACGGTACATGGCGCGCGCGTGTGTGTCTGTATTTGTGTGTGTTTGTGTGTGTGTGTGTGTAGTTGCATGTGTATGTATGTGTGCCGTTACAAACGTGTTTGTGTGTGTGTGCGTGTGTGTGTGTGTGTGTGTGTTTTCGTTTGTGTGTTGTTTGTGCGTGTGTTGTGGACCTTGGACCTGGGAATGTAACAATTGAGTTGTCAGCACATGCGGTGAATGCGTGGCCACCGTTGTATTTGAATTGTTGTTTGGTTTGATATTCCCCGCAACGCTCACGCTTCTTTTCATTATTGCGCCTGCCTCGCACAGGGTTCTATCTTGTGGACGTGTCGTATGTGAGTCAGGGCGCGTCATCGTCGCCATCTGTGCAGTACGTGGCCTCCTCGGGCGGGCAGGTTGTCGCTGCCACCATTGACCAGCAGTCTCCACCTGCCGATGGCGATGGCTGGTCCCCGCTCACCATGGGTGCGTTTGCGGTCACGGCCACGACGGAGGACGTCATCTCTGTTGTTGCCGACGCGTCTGCCCCCGGTGTGGTTGCCGCTGATGCCCTTCGCATCACACGCTGTCGCAACTACATTCCGGACACGGACTTCCCGACTCAGAGGTGTGTGTGCGCGCGCGCGCGCGCGCGTGTGTGTGTGTGTGTGTGTGTGTGTGTGTGTGTGTGTGTGTGTGTGTGTGTGTGTGTGTGTGTGTGTGTGTGTGGTTGCACACGTAACTGTGCGTACTTGCGCATTTGCGTGTTCGGATAGGAGAGTTTGACCCATGTCATTGTTCCGTTGTTCTTGAAATGGGCTGCTCACACTTGTGCTGTGTTTGGCTTGTTTGGTTGGCAGGACTACAACAACAACAACAACAACAACAACAACAACAACAACAACAACAACAACAACAACAACAACAACAACAACCACGACAACAACAACCACGACAACAACAACCACGACAACAACGTCGACCAGCTTTCGCTTCCCCCAGCTACTGCCTGAACCCGACCCAAGCGATGTTGGTGCCGAAGTGTGGCGCCTCAACGCCGGTGGCGGCAGCTACGTTGACAGCGGTGGCAACACGTGGATCTCTGATGCGGACTTTGCGCCGTTCGGGCAGACCAACGACGTTGGTGGCGGGAACATCCAGAACACGGTTGATGACGAGTTGTACTGGACTGAGCGCTACCGTCCGAGCCCGCAGGGGCCGCTCCTGTTTGAACTGCCCATTGCACAGGCGGGGGTGTACCACGTGTTCCTCCACTTTGCCGAGATTTACGCCGGCATTTCGGGCCCCGGGCAGCGCGTGTTTGACATTGAGCTGGAAGGGCAGCTGGCCATCGACAACTACGACACATACGCGGAGAATGGCTTTTTTACGGCGGGCGTGCGCGGCTTCACCATCGCTGTCACGGACGGAACGCTCAACGTGCAGCTCACGGGCGAGGTGCAGAACCCGCACGCGGCCGCCATCGCCGTGTTTGAGGACGCGGGTGGCGCAACGCTGTCGACGGGCGCCGTGCCGCCACGGGGAAGCACCACCACGCTTGCCTCCGTTGCAACGGCAGCGTCATCGTCACCGACAACCAAGGCGTCATCACGTCCGCCAACGCAAACCGCCGCAGCAACAACAACTGCTGGTGGTGGCATGTCCGGCACCCCGCTGCTGCGCATCAACTGCGGTGGCCCGCGCGTCTTGTCTCTGGACGCCACCGTGTGGGAGAGCGACGCGTTTGCTGTGTCTGGCACGACGGCCGTGCACAAGGTTCGCGTTCAGCCGCCATCCAGTGCCGTGGCCTCCACCGTCTACCAGTCTGAGCGGCAGGCGCTGCTGAGCGAGGACGAGCTGGCGTTTGCCGTGCCGGTCCGGAACGGGCTGTATCGGCTGCAGTTCCACTTTGCGGAGACGTCCACTGCCGTTGGCCCTGGCGCGCGCGTGTTTGACCTCTACGCAGAAGGCGTTCTCGTGTACGACAACATTGACATTGTGCAGGCTGTTGGCTACTCCAAGGCGCTTGCTGTTCAGGTCGACGCATTTGTGGAGGACAGCACGCTTGACTTTGCGCTCGTGCGCGTACCAACGTCAACCAGCCCTCCAAAGCTCAATGCGTTTTCCATCGACACGCTGCTGCTCGTTGAATGATTCAACGACAATATCCTGAACTGAACCTTAACGCTGCCCAGCTGTTATCTTGGGGTGAGGCGTGCATATGGCTTATTTTGTGTGTGTGTGTGTGTGTGTGTGTGTGTGTGTGTGTGTGTGTGTGTGTGTGTGTGTGTGTGTGTGTGTGTGTGTGTGTGTGTGTGTGTGTGTGTGTGTGTTTCAAGTGTGCTTCGTGTTGTGGAATGTATGATTTGGTGCGGCATGTCCGAGCACTTGTTTGTGCATATTTCTCCTGGTGTGTGTACATGTGGCCTGATGCTTGCTGGGCGGTGTGAGCGATTTGTTAATGTGACGGTCAAGCGAGTGCAGTGGATGTGTCGCGGCTATGTTACGGTGCCGCATCCTCGTTTGAGGCGTCATTCATGCATGCTACGCTACGATTGTGGGTGCTGATCCTTTGTTGGTTTGTTGTTTTCCACCTTACTACAACTCGAGTGTTGATTGACATGTTCGACCGTGTGCGACGATGGATAGCGTTGCTAGCTTAGAAAATAACACAATGAATCAAACCAACATGTTATGTTACCAGCAGACAAGCTGCGAACGTATGCACAATAGTGTACGTCGTCAGAGCGGGAGGTGAAGAACAGTGAAAATGACAAGCAATGGCCGAGCGAATGTGTGTGTGTGTGTGTGTGTGTGTGTGTGTGTGTGTGTGTGTGTGTGTGTGTGTGTGTGTGTGTGTGTGTGCTGGCCATCGTCGCTGATTATGCGGTGCTCTCGTCGGGTGCAGTGCTGTCCAAATTGCTGGGGTCGCCGTCAGCGTCTTGTAGCAACGGCTCCTCAAACACGTGCACATCTTGTTGGACGGGTACATGGCGAAGCACCCATGTAGTGGCGGCAAGAGACATGGACGCCCGGCCACCTTCGTCGGCCATCGTGCTGGTTGCGCGTTTGGTGTCATCACTGGTACTCGTGCAGTGCTGTGTTTCTGCTGTTGTTGTTGCTGCTGCTGGCAGCTCAATGGCAGACACCATGTGCGACGAATCTTCACGCTGCACCAGCAGCAGAAACCGTCCAACATGACAATGGGATATGATTGGCAGCCGCCCTGGTCATGTGCACGCGTCGTGCAGGTGTGTGTCTCCGTGAGTTTGCGTGAGGATGCGTGAGTGCCAGCGAGTGACACACACATACTCCCTCTCTCTCTCTCTCTCTCTCTCTCTCTCTCTCTCTCTCTCTCTCTCTCTCTCTCTCTCTCTCTCTCTCTCTCTCTCTCTCTCTCTCTCTCTCTCTGTGCCTCGATGTGTGTATCAAGAGAGGATGAGTGCATGCAGCATCGACGCACAACCGCACATCATACAGTGGCAACGAGACCACCCAACCTGTGATTTCGACGGCAAGGAGCGGCGGTCCTGAAATGGCGAAGAGGGGTGTGTCGGCGTTGCTGCTGCCACCAGGGCGCGGGCGCGAGGTGGTGAGCCGCCAAACGCAGAGCAACCCGTCCAGGCCCGACGAAATGACGGTGTTGTGAGCTGCATCGTGGGTGATGGTGGAGATGGCTGCCTCGTGCACAACGCTGCTCTTTGAGCCGCCGGCCGTGTCGCCAATGTTGAAGCAGTGCACGCGCAAGTCACTCCCGCAACACAGCACACCTGTTACACATGCACAGCGCCACCAAGGAACGTAAGTTGGTGTTCACATTGCACCGTGTGAGATGCGGTTACGGTGAGGCGGGGGGCTTGCCAAGTGTGAATCGGCAGACTTCCAAACGAGAGCACGCACGTTTGACCTTAACGTACATGAAGGAGCTATGCTCGTGACGGCGTGCACTTCCCAGCCATCGCCAAGAAGCTGTTGCCCATGGAGCTCCTTTTTCTGCTTCTTCTCAAATCTGAACACAACAGTCGCAGGGGAGAAGGTGGGTGTGGTGGTGATAATGGTGGTGAAGAAGAAGAAGAAGAAGAAGAAGAAGATGATGATGATTGCAGCGGGAGCAAGGCTATTCATCAGGAAAGCAAGCGACGCTGCTGGATGCGCATTGCGTGTGTTTTCAGTGTAACTTACGGCGCTTGCCAGACCCACAGGCCGTGCTCCCATGTTCCAAGAGCCAGCACATCAGGCGTGAGCGAGACAGAGGCTGGGGACGCAAGTGTGTGCGGAAGCTTCGTGGAGTGCTGCTGCTCAATCACCAATCCAGACTTGGTGGTCTTCGCCCTGATGTAACACCAAAATTCAATAAGAGGGAAAGGAGGAGTTGGACAGCGCCAGTCAGAGCAAGTTGCGGGCAGGTGGAGATGGCATGCTTGGCATTGGCAATGGTTACATGGCATGTTGAGCTGGTGCCGCACCGAAACGTGAGAATGTCGGCAGCTGTTGTGAGGACGACAACTCCATAGCAGGAGCCCGCGGCCACAGTGCAGATGTCAGCCATAACAACCTCGTCTTGTACACCCGTCCTGCGTGCGTGCGTGCGTGCGTGCGTGCGTGCGTGCGTGCGTGTGTGTGTGTGTGTGTGTGTGTGTGTGTGTGTGTGTGTGTGTGTGTGTGTGTGTGTGTGTGTGTGAGAAAAAAAATATGTTTGCCAGTGAGCACATGAATGGGTGCAAGCACGCAAGGAAGAAAGTGTGGGCTGCGCAAGCCCTGACGGTGACAACCCATGTTCGCTTCTCCAAGACCACGTGCTACTTACAGCGGATGCGACTTGCTGAGTTGAAGCACAACAGCGTGTGGCTTGTGTTTGCAGCGACAAACGGCTGTCCCATCATCAGTCATGCTCACGCTATCAACATGATCCAACTGACAACATGCAGAAACACAAACACCATCACCACACGAGGCGGGAGGATGCAGCATGAGATCATGTCAGAACACATTCAAGGACCGTCATTGTATGTATGTGTGGGAGAGGGGGTTTGTACACGGCACCCCCGTGTTCAAGTGTGCGGATGGAAACCTTGATCGCTGGTGGCCTCGATGCAGAGGAGTTCTTGTCCAATGCCCTGAATACGTCCTGTTCAAGGGCAACGGAATGAAGAAAGAAAGTCGAAAAACTGAGTGAGCGAAACGAGTGCGTGGACACACACTCACTCACTCACTGACTCGCACACACACACACACACACACACACACACACACACACACACACACACACACACACACACACACACACACACACACACACACACTGACTCACTCACTCTCACGCACGCGCGCACACACACGCGCACACACACACACACCTGAAATGGATGCGGGGGTGTTGGTGGTGGTGTGGGCTTTGACTTTGGCGCTGGGATGAAGAATTCCTTGAGGCCGAGGAATGAATGCTTTGGTCGTTTCTTTGGTGTCTCCAGCACCGCGGATTCGCCCTCCCCGCTGCTGTCTGTGGCATCAACGGCTTCAACGTCCTTGCTCGCGCGCTTGCGCTGCTGTGCGCCTCTTTTCTCCGCCGAAGACTCAGCCTGCTTGGCCTGCTTGTTGTGCTCACCTCTGCTCTGATTGCCACCACCATTGGCAGTAGTGGTTATCGTGCTGTTGCTGCCATCTCCATGATCACCGTCGTTCTTCCCACCATCGTCATCGTCATCAACATGGATGCACACAGGCGCGTCGTCCCCTGCCTTGCCCTTGCTGCGTTTCCCGAAGATACGCGGCAGCCACGACGACGCCTTCGACGGCTTGCTCTTCTTCCCCTTGATGTAGTCGGGTTGAAACGAAACAGCGTGGTGAGAAGCATGGCACGGCAACGCTGAAAAGGCAGGTGAACGAGGCGAACGAAGCAATCGACGCGAACGAAGCAAACGAGGCGACTAGATACACATCCGTGCATTGACAGAAAGCACACACACACACGCACACAGACAGACACGCACACACACACACACACACAGACAGACACACACACACACACACACACACACACACACACACACCACAACACCTAGGCCAAAGATGGGAATAAAGCGGCCACACATATCTCACGGGATAGATGGACGCAGTGCCATTGAGCAAGAGCGCCAAGGATTCGAGCGAACGCGATGGCGGCAGGATGGGCTGCGCGTCTGTTGTGCACTGTGCCTGGAAGAGCGAGGCGGCAGCGGCATGGAGTCAAGCACGGAGGGTGACGTGAGTTGAAGTTCTTGGGACTGAGCGCGAGAGCAGTAGGCGCCACGCAGGATGGCCACTTACAAGCAGGGTGGGCCTGAAGTGCGCGAGGATGCGCGTGTTGTGCTTTTCTGCGTCTGTTCCCTCCCGGTGGAACGCGAGGTCATGCTGACACTCGGGACAGATGATCCTCGGCACCCTGGCAG